TTTTTTGTACTGGGACTTGAACTCAGGAGCTTGTGACAGCCAGACAAGTACTTGTTCCACTGAGCTAAATCCCTGGCCCTAAAACATACATTTTTTTGGACTGAATTATTTTTCTTTGAAGCAACTTACGTTTTAGGTTCAGACATGATTGATGAACTGAAGTATGATAAGTGATAACCTTACGCTTTGGAGTTACTTCAATTTATTACCTTTTTTTCCCAAGATAACTGAAATGTAGACCATAAATTCTATAGTTTTTTATAAAACTGAATAAGGAGATAACTTACTTAATATTTTTCTGACTTCATCATATAATCATCATTATCTAGGCAGATTATAATAAATGCAAGAAAACTAACTGATCTCCCCAATTGTAAGATTCAGAATGGCAAACACACTGAGAAAAAAGTGTTACTTGAGAAAAAAAAAAGAAAGGAAAAAAAAAAAAAAAAAAAAAAAAAGAAAGCACTCTTTAGCACCTCTTATACATATAAGTGAAATAAGGGAAAGAGAGACCAGTAGTTGGTTTTAGAAGGTCTGGCTTTCATCTGGAATTGAGAGCCACATCAGGGGCTGTGTCTTCAGACTAGAATATAGGTATACACAAACCTTGCTGATAGAATGCTGAAGCATTTGTTTTACCAAAATCAGCAGGCTTTTTTTTATTATTTAGTACAGGGTCTGCAGGGTCTCGCTACACAGATTGGGCTCATATAATTCTGTTTCTAGCCTCCCAAGAGCTGGGATGACAGGTGTGTGCCACCACGCTAGTCTCAATCTCTGGCTCAGTTCACCCCTAGGGCAGGGCCAGCACAGCATGCTGGGGATCAAACCCCAGCCCCCAAGTCTGCCTAAGTAGGCATTTCAATCCGCTGAACTATCTGGCCAGTCCTTTAGCAGGCTTTTTAATCTTAAAACTATTTAAGCCATACATGTAAAAAAAAATTAAGGCCAAAAACTACACAAAAATAAATGAAGGAACCCATTTAGTAGCCCACATGCTTAGTCTGTCAGTTTAGGAAATAAAGGTTCAAAGAAGTAACTTTGCTCAAAAACATAGCAACTCAGCTGGAGTGAAGGGCGAAGTTTTAGCTCAGTTTCCAGTACCCCATACCCCAAAGCCAAGAAAACAAGAATACTATAATCACTTTTACAGTTCACAGTGAGCTTTTTTACATGCTGTTAATTTTTCTTTCAATCTGAAAGGAAAGCAGAGACTGAGACTGGGTCCTGGGGCCAGGATGGCATGTGGTACTAGGGATAGAACCCAGGTCCTTGTACTTGCCAGGCTGGTGCTTAGACC